AACTGTGATCCAGAGGCCTGATACACAGCTGACTGAATGTTTTTTTTCCGGCTGCTGCATTGGAAATTGGCCACACCCAGATAGGTATGACCGCTGATCACGAAAGGATGCCAAGCGAGGGCTCCACGAGTAGGAATGGATTGGAAAAGAACGAACTTGGTACCATCCCATTTATAAATAAACGAGTCAGTGTTGTAGGAACTTCCAGAGTAGTAGCAGGCAAAAGCGAGGAATGTGTGACCATTGATATTAACAGACTTAACGTCATATGCACCATAAGTTTGAAGAGACTGTAGTTTGACAAAGTGTCCTCCTGACCACTTAAAGACAGTGGACTGAACAGAATACTTCTGTTGAGAGTTGTAATAGTTGGCGAAAGCGATGAAAGTGACATTGTTTATTCCAAATGCCGTACATCCCATGGCACCTTCAGTTGCTATCTCTTGGAACTTGTTGAACTTAAAGCCATTCCATTTGTAGATGACTGACTCTGTTGAGTAGGTACTTTCGTCTTGACGATTTGCCACTGTGAGATATTTTTCTCTGTTTGATGCGAAGAACTTGAAGTGTGCAGCTCCTTTTGTTGGTAATTTCTGAAATACCATAAACCGCTGTCCATTCCACTGGAATACTACAGAGTCAAGTTGGTATGTACCATCCCAATAATTAGCCACAGCAAGGAAATGTTTGTCAGCGATAGAAAAGTACTCAACGCCATGTGCACCTCTAGTTTGTAGGGTCTGGTACAATGTGAACTTTTCAGTCGGTTCATCCATCTTGTAAATCACGGAGCCTGTCTTGTGTTTCTGAATATCTCCTTGATTGTTCCCAAAGGTGAGGAACAGACTTCCATTAATGGTAAAGTGTTGAACAGCTGCAGCTCCTCTGGTTGGCAAGTCTTGAACTTTCTCGAAGAAGTAGAAACCGGTCGAACATTCTTTCATAAAAACAAAACAAATGGTTAACAGAGTTTACCTCTCATTCATTGTTTCTGGTTATTCGCCTTTTAAAGTGGCTCAGAATGGTTTCGTTCTTTTTAATCACCATATTGTAACGTACAGAAGCTTTAACGGTTTCCCCATTTTCGGGAATTTCCATAAGCCATGCAAAACTGTTATTCAACGATTATTTTTCACAAACCTAATGTTACCAAAGCAACATTCAATCCTCTAAAACACTTAATTCTCTATCATTGTATTGCAGTCAGCGTATTAGAACACATTTTTTTTTCAAAGTTATATAGAGAATAGAACGACTTGACCCAGCCGGTTTTTTTTCTTTTTTGCTTCACTTAGGGGGGTTTAAATCGCGTATAAAGATTTTTTTATAGCAGAAAGATAAATATTGATAGGCCGTGCTGATTGCAATTCAATGACAAAATATGAAGTTCGTCGAACTCGTCTTTTAGCTGTAGGCACACTAAGCTCAAATTAAGGGTACCAGTGTTTCTAAAATTCCGTATTCTCGTTAGTTAGTGTCATAAAATGAATATATGATTGTTAAAAGATCAATAACTAATTAGTCATTTTTTGACGCCATTTTCAAGAGATCACATGGCTAACTGTGGTAAAAAAATCCATCAAAAAAGATGCGTTGAGCCTCTTTAAATTGGCTAAAACTTTCTCAAAAAGTCGAACTCATTGCATTGCAAGGCGTTGTTTCTCAGGTTTTGTTCAAGCTGATGTTGGCTTCAGAAAAATCCATATATCGGACTTATTTTACCTCTTCCTCTTTCTCCTCCGTCGCCCGATTGTATGCACAATATTGTTAACATTATTGTGCGAAATCTGTGTTTAATAAGTTCATTTCTGCAAATATAGGGAATGGCCGATGTTTATAACATAACTAACGTACAACAGGCGCTCTGATTGGTCAAAAATCTATCGTCATTGTGCCGTTATAGTATATAAAACTGAAGCATCAAGTAGGATTTTCACTCGGAAATTTGTTGAAAATCTCATTTACACTGGAACGAAAACTACTTATAGAGTAAAAATGTCTACTCGAGACTTATGGCAACTCCTTTTCCTGTCAGCGATTTCAGCTTTCATTTGATTGTTCTTACGTTTTGGAAGGCATTTTTAGCACTTTTTGTAAATTATAATGAGAATTCCCTAAAAGCTTCAATTAAAGCATAGGCAATGCAAAAATAATTTGATTAACCAAAAATAGTATACCATGAACAAAAAATTAGCTAGTTTCTGACGTATACGTCTTTGATTTTACTGCAATTGTCGTGGTGCGATTTTATAAAAGAAATCAAAACTAAGTCTTCTAAATAGTAATAAGTTTCTTCAGCATAATTTCTTCAACTGGCCTTTACTTCGCTGAAAAGCTCTTAAAATATTAGAACTGTTTCATAGCCTTGCAACCTTCAGAAACTTTTCGAACAGATTATCACATCACTATCCATGTGGTAGAGCAAATTTGGCGTTTTATTTGTCCACATTGGAGTATTCTTCAATACAACATAGTTTGTGTCTTGATCAGGGGGTATTTTACTGTACACCTAAAAAACATTTATCATTAAAACAAAACAAATAGAAAACTTATTCCAACCAACTATGCCTTCAGCTTGCATTGAAATTGAAAGGGGCGTTTTACTGTGCACTTAAACGGCAATCGTCAAAGAAATGAATAGTTTAAGACTGTATGTAGCTATGTGGATAGTATCACAATCTTTATAGTATTGAAAAGAAGTGGAGAGTGTATAATGATGCTAGAAGGAAGTGTTGTACAAGATTTGTCTCTCATACCAAAAAGAAAACCTGCCGCATCTCACATCTATGAATATTCTGTTACACAAGAGAGAGATGATTCAAGAATATAAAGACTAATTGACACTCAACCGATGATAAAATGGTGACAAATAATCATACCACCATATCAATGATAATAATAATGATAACAATAGTGAAGGTATTGATATTTTTTTGGGGTTGGCTGAAGAACCACACCGTTCCTCTATCGGTCTCTCCTCTAGGTCCAATAATGATTACACTATGCTTCTTTTCATTTTGCTTGTAAATTATAATTTTTTTCTTATTCCATTGCAATTCTATTTATGTAAGACTTTCGTTCATACAACAAGGCATTCTGCCCATTTGCCATTCCACCAATCCATCATTCTACCGTTCTAACATTACTTTGAATAGGGTCATCCTGTTAAACTCAAGGTATGGTATTTTAGACCTTGCTTGCTTCGCGAATTTAGTGGCTCATTGGTGCACTAGTCGCTGATAAAAATGGTAAAATGCTCTCTCTTTGAACAACTTAGTTTTTTTCTGGAAAGTTCCCGCGATGTGCAGATCAAACCTATTCTGCAAGCAAAAACCTTGTTTTTAATGACATGACCGTGAGGCCACTACAAAATTATTTTGAGATGTTTATCATCTTTTGTAGTGTAACGGCAAAAAGTGAAAAAAAAAGGTATCTTTGGATCTACTGGGCATAATTCGCGGATTCACACAGTAAAATACTCCCCCTTCAAAGAAAAAAGTTTTCCTCTAGGTTTTCATGATGCGCCAATCACACCTTATAAGATATTTCTGTAAGGAAAAGCTTTGTTTTTCATGCGTCATCCTAAAATTATTGTGAGATGTTTACCGTCTCCTATAGTACTCCGGAACAAAGAACAAGTAGCACAGTGAACAGCGGGTAAAAATCGGATCAAGATCGGAATTCTGTTGTTACTATCACTCACCCACTCACTCACTCACTCATTTTGACGATATATGTGGCCTCGCCTCCTATATGGGACAGTAACGACAAAAACAAGTGAAAATTTATTCCTACCCACTTTACAACACCCTCTTTTCCCGGAGGATGACGAGGAGCTCTGCAAAGAATCATTTAAATTTCGTTATCATTATTGTTTCATGCTTGTGCACGTCAAAGAATATCACAAAATAACTGCAAAAATAGTAATAAAAGAGAAAATAGCAAATTGCTTGTTATAATATGTTATTACTATAAGTACACGAGAATGGTTATCAAGAGATGATTCTTTATCCATTATATCTTTCCATACCAGGTCATCACATGTTCCCGGCATTCCTTTCTGTCCCTTTTGTCCTTGTGATCCTTTCTCGCCCTCGATGAAAAAGCAAGCTTATAAAAAAAGGTTGTATGGGATGGACTTGGAGAAGAGAACTTGTTTCGCTATTTGTCATTAAAGAAAATTGAGAAATAAATATTTTTCTTTTGAGCTGTGTTGGATGAAAGAATTTTCCATGTACACTTCATGAAAACTTGCTTCAGAAAGCAGCTGTTAACCCCACCCCCCCCATCTCTTTTGAATAATGACTAAACCCTACCAGGTCCTACCAGGGGTTTGTTGAAGTCCTAAATGTAATAACTGTCCTAAATGTAATAACATTTGGTCCTAAATGTAATAAAGTCCTAAATGTAATAACATTTAGTCCTAAATGTAATAAGCCTCTTATGCAATCGTTTAACTCCTGCAGTGCATTGTTGTTATGGCGGACATCCACATTGATATGTTAGTGACAGCTGTTGCTCAAAAAAACCGCTGACCAGTATACATGTCACATTATGGGCCCGCTGATATCAATCAGCGTCTTTTTACTTGCTAGACATAAGAAATATCAGCAGTCGAAGTATGGTCCTTATAGCGGTTGAAGAAAATCATTTCCAGCCCAATGTGGGCTAGTGCTTGGCTGGAAGCTCAATAGGATGGAATCGATTGGTACGTAACCATTAAGACTTTTTGGAAAAGAAATTTACTACAATTGATGATGAACTAGCATGCTATTGTTGATGTTATCGTTCGTGTTAAAGTCTTTAGAAGTGATGCACCATTTTAGAGCAGTTTGAATGATTTCGCTGTGTCACATGTTAATCCAAAAGAAAATTATTATTATCAGTAGCGTTATTGAAATTTTGCACATCAATGTTATTCAGTGTCAATTGATTCTAATGAAGCATTTGAGTTCATTTTTAAGAATGACTATCCTGATTTATTCAATTTTGAACCTGGGGTGTTGCATTTCCAGCCCTCTATGGCTTTACTCCACCTCAGTAATCAGTTCATGTACCATATGACTATAAGTGGAAACTGTTGAGCTTTCTTTTTTCATTCATCTATTTATCTATTCATTTTCTCCCCTCACGGCGGGGAGAAGAGGTGAAGACAAAAAATGAAATATAAACTTGAGATCAACTTTAAAATGTATGTTTTCCTAATATTTCGGTTCGGGAACTGATGAACCCGTCATAAGGGGCTAAAGGAAAAAAATGAATGGTTCATTAGACCGCCAACTGACCATCATGTGTTGAATGGTGTAGCTCAATGGTTCAATTTGACTCTTGCGTGGAAAAAAGGCAACATGTCGAGACCTGTGATCGTGAAATGGGATAACATATCATTGGTCAGTCGATATCTTGCTCTGCAAGTCACATTATCATATAGCTAGCAGCGCACGCGGGCAAGATGAAGTGAATCCTGTGTTCTGATTGGCTACCTGAGCGGGCATGATGGGCCCACCCTCGCCCGTTCGGGATCCCCCGTATTGATCCCACGCAAGAAAACTTACAAAGTTCGTAACTTTTGGACAATGTTTTCATATATACATAGAAAAAATAAACGACCCTCTCGGGTTTATTGTGCTGCAAACACAGTTGGCTTTCACTATCGGCTCTCGAAATAAACAGGCCATTCTTGATTCTTATCAAAGCGAAATCTTTTGCTATACAATGAATCCTTTAATGATTAAGCCAAGAGAATATAAACTCTCTTGTATGGTCAAGATTACTGGATATTAGCCTCGTTCTTTTTCTACTTTTTTATGGACCGTGACTTCGTCTCAGTCCATAAAAACGCAAAAAAAAAAAAAAAAAAAAGAACTCGGCCAATATATAGCCATTTTGACCTCACGTTCGGTCAATAACGCATATGAATATATTTTATGCAAACACGTACAAATCTGGCAAGGGAAGACAGTACAAAAAGAGCCCTTCTGAGCCCAAAATTTGTCTAACGTATAAGTCGGTGGACTTCTTTTTCCTTGTAATTTGGTTCATCAAGCGTTAACTTCAGCACTGAGGACAGAAGTATTTCGTCAAAATCTGTTACACTTAAAGAGTCTGAGCCAATGATATAGAGAGAGCTATTAGTCAACGTTCTCGTTGCTTCTGCGTCCGTCAATTTGATGCCAAAAGCACATCAGTATTAGAATAAGGTTTTGTAGCCAATGCTTCTCAACCTACGTCTTTAACAAATAAAAAGCCGCTGATTGATATCAGTGAGCCCGCAATATCCCATAAATATTGGTCAGAGGATTCTTTGGTGCAACAGCCGTCACTTTAACATCTCAATGTTAGCGCAGTTAAACGATTGCATAGGAGGCTTATTACATTTAGGACCGAACGTTATTACATTTAGGACCAAATGTTATTACATTTAGGACTTTATTACATTTAGGACAGTTATTACATTTAGGACTTCAACAGCCCGAACGACGAGGACAATAATTGAGCCTTTGTTTCGGCCTTTTAGAGGTTTGCGTATCATTTAGAAAATATTTGCAAGAAAGGAGATATAAGTACGACTTCAAACATTTCTCCTAATTTCATGTATGGATGGATAGAAAGAAATGGGATGGATTTCAGTAGTAAATTTTATCCGGCAATAAATGTGCCTCAAAATATGCTCACCATGCGCATGCGGTGTTTCAACTCTGACAAACTGCATTTTTTCATAGTCTCACTCTGAGTTCGGCCTCCAATCCGCACAATCCCCTCGGGATGAAACTGATGGATTCCTTCCAGAAACTGATCGAGCGCATGGTTCGTATAACAGACAATCAGTATTGGATGATTCTCTGAGAGTCGAGAGAAAATATCCCTTTGACTCCTTCTATTGGAATCCCACTTGCTTTTGTTATGCAACAAGACATTGGCAATCTGCAAGACACAAATAAGGTGATGCAGGATTTGACAGATCAGCACATTTCTTGAAGTGGACAGTTCTCTACCTTGCCAACTTTCTGCATTTGAAAGGAGCATCAATCGTAATACTTTCAAACCTACCTTCAACCCAATAAACGTCTTTCCAGTACCAGGTGGTCCTTGAATGACAGCAAACTCTTTGGTCAGTGCCATCTGCAGCGCCCTGAACTGAGAATCATCAAGATCCAGATGTTCCGCGGAAGGCCAGGAGGACAGTTTGAGAAGTGGTACGGAAGTTCCTTTAAAACAAAATCGCAAAGATAGTTCCAAAACAAGTTTTATAAGAGAGGGCGGCAATGGTTTACACGTGACGCTTGATGAAGGCCAAAATTAATGTGACGCTTATATTTTACAGAAAGGCGAGTGTGATTTGTGAATTTATAAACCAGCGTGGGGCGTGATTTGTCTCCTGAAATATACGTCACCAGTCAATTTTTTCTTTCATTTTGTAAAAACCTCACGATTTCCCCGAAACCTCGCCCACAAGAAGAGAAATTTGAAGTTTTCCCTTTTAAATTCGTGAAGAATGAAATGGCGTTTAAAGCTAATGTGACGGATGAATTTATCAAAAGTATCAGGACTCCCCCTCCTTGGGTACTCATAGCATCAAGTGTACCTATCAGCTTTTTATTCGCCGCAAGTGATTCTTAACCCTTTCCCAAAATACTGGCATAATAAAAAGTGGACCCTATCGGTTGTTCAAAGGACGAATAACGCTATCCGACGGATAAATCGTTATCCTGCAAATAAGACTTAAACAACAAGTACCGCGCTATCCACCTGATCGAGATGTATTCAATGAATAGCATTGAAGAGCATACATAGAAAAAGGGATGTATACCTGATTAACAGACTGAAAGTGCAAGCAAGCTCCTGAGATTAATCTTCAAATAGTCAGGTAACGTCACACAGTTCAAAATAAGTTATACACTCACCCTTCAAACGTGCACGCCGAAGTTTGTACTTTCTCTTTAAAGTAACCAAACTGTTGATGAGAATGAAAGAAGTCTTTCAGATATGGCATACTTTACCGCTATAAAAATGATGTCATTATCAAATGGTATCAAAATGATGAACCCAGATAACTAAACTAGTCTAAAGTAGTTCATAAAATTACTCGACTGAATTGTTCTTTTGATCTTCATCTAATATAATAATGGTTCATGCCTAATGTGCGTATATCGAGATATGAATGCACACGGAGAGTTCTCACGAAGAAAGAGTCTTCTCACAATTGTGTCCGGTTTCCCTTGTAATTGCGTACTACCCGAAAACTATGAATAAAAGGAAAAGCAGCAACGACTAAGAACTGGTTCAAGAAAAAAACTTAATTCAGAGAAATGCTAAATTTTCTTCGTGGAAGTGAAAAACGTACGAATTTCCTGCACGTACGAGACCCGCATAATAGATTCACCGTGCTTGAATCGGTGTTTACTTTGATTCACGGCCAAAACATGCCGAGCTTTCTGTTGAAAGTTCTAAAAATTGTACGATTTAAAACAAATGTTCTATTGAACAATACTCTAAAGACATAATAACGCTTAAAAATGATATTTACCGTTCTTAATAAAGAAGAGTCCAAAAGTCGTAGAGCTTCACTTGAAGTCCGCGAGCGATTTCCAGCCATTATTCGCATCGCGTTTGTGAATAAATTTCGTTGACTCCAAAGCTAATTACGCCGCTTGAAAAAGACACACGTTCATTTTTTTCCCACCAAGTATCATTTAGCATTTAAAGTTTTTATTTTTAGCTCTATCAGGTTTATCTCAATCGTAGCAAATCGGAAAATAACCTTGAAAGGTTTGAAATCTTGCGGCTAATCTGGAAGAGAACTGAGGCAAACCTACACACGTCATAGTATGACGTAAGGCTTCTTATCCTATCAAGGTATCGGAACCCACAAATACGCCACGATTTTAGACTACGAAAAGGCCGCAATAAACGATCCCAGCTTTGGTTTTATTCACTTTTCTGATGCCTCACTTTTAAAGCAACCAAACATTTAAGCTGGGGATTTTTTGTTATTCGTGTACAAACACTTTTATGGTTACGCTTGTGTTGTTTTTGTCTTTCGTACACGACATATGCGATCGATAGGATGCTCAGATAACGTCGTAGGATGCACTTCGAAAACTAGAGGCTAAAATACTAGAATATAGAAATCATTGCGGTGTTATAAATCCGTAGCGGACATTCTATTCACCTCTCGTGTTTTTCCTCGCCCCAACGGGTTCGGAGAAAAAAAAAATACGCAACTCGCAATATATCCGCGCATACTATATGTTAGTAAACCGAATAAGGTATGAAAACACAACTAGTGGCTTATTAGAAGTTATAATTATAGTGTTTCATCCCCCCAATCCCCCCCCCCCCGATTTTTCCTCTCGTACCTCTCAGTAGTATCAGCAGTATCCTGGCTCACTTTCTTCATGATAGGTGTTAAGTCAAAAGTTACTTCTTCGTGCAGTTCACTCCTCAAATACGAAGGGGGCTCGACATATTCTTGGCAATTTACAATGTACTTCTGTGGGTTAATGATAAGAGTAAGCGTTATGAAGAGAAACTATTAGTTTTTATCCTAAGAAAGAGCACAGATTTGGGAAACTACTTTCTATCTTGAAAAATCTGATCATGTAAGTTATGAGGTCGAACTCGAATGTAGAAGTTTCCATCTAAAATAAAAATATACATGAGAACTACCGTAAAGGAATTTACAGGTGAGGGATCACTCGTACCTGAAAAGGTAACACAGCTGGATGGATTTCTTGCAGTCTCTTCAGCACGTGACGATACGCTTCAAAGTAGGAAGTGCTCTCTACCATCTGATACACATCACTTTCTTCAAGTCTCACGTTATCAGATGATTCGATGAATTGTATGTCCACCGTACCCTTAAACAGGAAAGCAAACGAGATAAAAAATTCATTTGTCAACAACTGCATCTTGAACGAACGTCTCCCATTAATACGTTTGTATACTTGTGAGCAGGATGCCCACATATATTAAGAATCCTAAAAGTCGCCCAAAGTTTTGCCAAAACAGCCAAATGTCGGACGAAATTACTTGAGCAAAGGAGGAGAAAATGCTCATTCAGCTTGCTCATTAAGACAGGTAACCATTCTTAGTGAATTGCGTCCAGATAATATTGCCTGATGAAAATTGAAAAGATATCTGAAACCTTCTCGATAGCTTTGGCAGAATTCCTTTCCAAAAGGAGGAGAAATATTTCAATAACTAGAGACGCCGTTTCAGGGCAAAGGAAAAAAACAACAGAAATGTTCGCCAATAATGGCGGAGACTTTGCCAAAAAAAAAGAGAAAAGGAGTGGGAAATCACCACGTAATGTTCATTCATTTTTTATCCACTAAGTTCAACTTACTCGTCTTATCTCTGAGAGCTCCCTGTTGGCCACCGTTGCAAACACAATATTTTCAAAGTGATCTGAGGACAAACACAACAACGAGCCGAAGATAAGCCGTTTACTGTTTTCCCACCGTACTTTTTTGAGCTTAGAGTTGTCAAACTCGACCTTGCAACGGATACCGTGGGAAGTGCATACAGGGTACAGTAAGCGAACACCATTGTAAACATGTATGTCCTGTAAGGCACCAATCTTGTGGGAGCAAGAACGCTCTAAAAACTCTGTGATCCCCTCACGAAGAGGCCGCTGAAAATCCTCTCGTAAGAGTCGAAACTGTACGTCTAAATAGTGTTCCGCGTCTTTATAGGCACCACTAACTTTGTTTTTTCTGATAAAAGGCCTTCCTCCTGTCAAGATGTCCTCCTGAGTAGGAACAACACTAAGACATCGGAAGTTTTCGGGCGGACTGACGTCGTCGTTGTCTTCGGCTAAGAGAGCGAGAAGATTTGTTTGATAACAAAAACGTACAATTATAAAGGGCAAAGATTGCTTATGAATGTTTAAAAAGAATGAAAGATTCTTACCAATTCTCCGTGGTTTCATTTTCCTTTGCTTTTCCTCTTCTTCTTTCCTCTTCAACTCCTCAGCTTTTTCGATTCGCATTTGCATCATTTCATCCACCCCTTTCACGAGTGCTTCATCTTCCAACTGCCCCGAATCGAACGCCAACCTGATCGCACAATACAGGTCTGACAGAGGAAGATCAGAGTGAGAGTTTGGAAATCTTCGAAGCAATTCGTTCATCATTTGCTCAACGTTCCTTAAATACGCAACTACATCAAAAGGCGGAATTGGATCCACAAAGAGCCTGTTCAGGTTGCGCCTCAGGTGCAAATTGAGAAACAAAGACCCCGGTAATAGACTTAGTAGTTTATAAAGATCATCCCTGCTTTTGCTAGTGCAAGCTTTCGTGAAAATGTTTACTAATAAAACAATGCTGTCGTCTGTGATTGTTGACTGCTCTTTAACTAAGTATTCGGTGGCACGAAAGCAACTTTCTGATGTCAAATGGAGAACAATGTCGTCCGGGCTTTTGTTCTTCAGATTCTGGAGGTCCTTGAGTTTTAATTGTCCCTGAGACTGAATACTTCCAGTGTCTCCTCCAGCCCTTCTTCCATCACCCCTTTCACCATTTGTAGCACTACTCTTCCAACCACCTCTCCAACTTCCTCTTCCTCCTCCACCCCTTCCAAAACCTGCCCGACCACCTCGCTTACAGCCTTTCCAACTCCCTCTTCCTTTCCCACCGGGCAAACTACTACCAGCCACCTCTCCAGCTTCTCTTTTAACATCCAATGTACCTTCCGGCCCTATGCTATTTCCGATGGCTCCACCAGCTTTTCCTCTAGCGCCCCTGCCACCACCTCTACCAGTGCCACGCCAACCACCTCTCCAACCTCCGTTTCGTCTCCCTCTGCGATCTCCTCGTCCTTTCCAAATTTCCCTGGTTTGCTCCATTAGGATGTTTCTGACAAAAATAAGAGGAAGATCACTCAGTTAAAAAGTGAATTTCACATATGCCTTCCAACTATGAAATCAGAAGGTCTCTGCTACCAAACCCTTTGCGGAACTTTTAAATCTCTCCTTATTCGACAACCAAAAATTCCGAAAGACCGACGATAATAGTCCTACATGCAAAGGACAAATCAAGCCATAACAACGGCAAATAATATCACTGTTGAAACTTTAATTTGAAAACTTTTATGCAGTACTTAGAAAATAAATGCATAAGGGTTAGGAGGGTGAATGGCCCCTCTCATTAAAAAAAAGTCTGTCATTCACTTGGTATCAAAGAACAGCTATCCATATCTAACACAAAAACGTTCTGAATTCTGGCGAGTAAATACCATAGCGTTGATCGGCTTTTACCCTCCCATTCGCGCATGGGCTTGTAACAAGGTAGAAGTTGGTATCAGTTCTGATCACAGACAATTCAGGCTTTTTAGCAACTTCATTTTATGTAGGTATAAATACAATAAAGAAGGATTGGGAAAAAGATTAACAAGGCAAGCACTGTTCAAAAAATGTGGAGATTCTTTGTTCAGTTAAAAATACTCCTACCATGAACAAATAAAAGATACCGGGCATCAATATGCATCAAGAGTCTTTTATGCATTGATTGCGTAAATAAAGAGAGACACATTTTCTGATCTATGATCCTGTAGAACTCTACAAGCTACGCATAAAAGCCATGGTAATCAGTTATAATGTTTACAACAGAACGCACGAAAGTCATTGTTTTAACCCTTTAACTCCCAGATCAATTGTGTAATTCTCCTCACTATCAACCATACAATTCTTATAACGTTCGTTCAGATAATTTAGTATTGCATCAACTAGTTATCCCCAAATTGATATTTTTCTTTAATCTCATAAGTTATTTGGTTGATATTATATTGACATTGTGAAGAGAAATTCTGTCTTAGTCACTCATAGGAGTAAATTAAAACCAGATCAGTACAAAAGCATTCTGGATTATCAACGACGTAAGTGATTAATGCCACGTGTCAGATATTTACATGTTGAAAATGGACACCCGCATCATGAGATATCCGTATTCCGTTCTAAGAACGAATCCTTAAGCGACGGTTAGCAAAATTTCACTCAACCACTCGATTGGACACGCGCCATATTAACTTTTGTATAAAAATAATTAAATAAAAATGGGATTTCGTTCGACGATTTGTCAGCGAAACTGTTCCGGACAGTTCCTGATGTCGATTCCTGATGACAGTTCCTGATCTTAGCTCATAAAACCGGGTTATCCCGTAGATATTCACTCTTAGGATCAGTTTACAAATTTCGAGCAAATTTGACGCTCACTTCGAGAAGATCATAACAAGATGTTTTGCATATTTCTTTATTTCCGGCTTGGATGGAGTGTTCTCATCATCATGACCGGCCTAACGTCAAGCCATTCCAATTTTCAAGATTCGAGCTAACTTGTTAACTTTCGAAAATTTGGTCACAAGTCATACATTTCATATATTTTAAATCCGTCATACACATTGTTACTCTAAAGAATATAATTAAATATGCACGAAGGCCAACCCAAAGCTCTTTACAGCAATGGCAAACTGATTATTTCGCCGACCTATTTCCACTCTCTATCGGATAAAAGGTGCTGCACATTGTATGTGTTTGCTAGAGGTGGCACAGGTAGCGCTTTGCTAACAGTCTATGCAAACTAAGTCTTGAATTTCTATGCAATTGATCCCCTGCGAGATAGTGGTAGCTAAGTATGAGATTGCCGATAACTTCTATTGTATGTATAAGTAACTCTCTCTCTACTCTTTACACTCTGATTCGACACTGATAGATAAGGTTCAAGTTAGCGAAGTGAGATCTAGATATAAACTATGTAATGAATTTCGTAATGCCGGCTCAGATACTCTAGATATTTTGATTGCAATATTACATTCGGATACTTGAATATTTGCGTATACGTTTTAGCTCCGCATTACCTCAAATGCTAGACGAAGCCAACAAACATAGGCAAGCCACGACTTTTGGTTTTTGTTCAATCGTCACATATCACTGTTGCATGATAAACTTCCTCATACGATTTTTCCAGAGCACAGATATAGAACTATCGCTATAGGAGCGACTAAACGAGAGCCAATTAAAATGCAGCAAAATTTCTTAGAAAGCGAAAGCTTTCTTCCGGGAAATAGGGAATTATGAGGTTACTTCCGCTGACAGAGAGCCTGAACCGAGCTTTTAGTTAAACTTTGACTCTGAAGGGTTTCAATGTTGAAATAAAACGGGAGTTCCAATGCTATTTCAGGAGTGGTAGCCACTTGATTATGTTTGCAGACCAGTTACAGCAACGCCGTGGAGAAATGGAGATGAGACACGACAGATTAAATGGATGGAATTCGGCCAAATACGATACCGTGCGCAATTATGAACCTGCTTTAGAGGTTTTCAATAGACAAACACTGCATATTAGGTAGACACTAATAGGGAAAGGGGGATAGCGGAAAGGAAATTGACTCAATATCTGAGTGGTAGAGCTGGACAGGAAAATACTTGGCTCAAGTTCATGACGTAAGCACCGAGCGTGGTGAGGTCCATGCGCTATAACCAATAGCCAAATATTTCCACGTTCGACCAGACCTAATTCAGGTTATAAATATTTTAATATAATCGGCGTTTTGAAAATTGCTCTGATTACGGTGTATAGACAGGAAATTTAATAAACATAGTTACCTTACGTCAAATATATGTCTCTGTGACAACAGCCTCAATGTTTGCTTCTAACCAAAATTGTTCCGATCAGAGAACAGGTTTTTCCGTGTTGTGGTATGTACAACTTGAATCTGCCGCATTATACGAAGTTCTGTAAATCAGTTTTTCTCCTCAATAAAATAGTTATTTTTTCTCAGTGGGCACAATGTTATCGGTTCTTAGCGCGGTCCGGTTCTTAGCGTGGTGCACGGCACGGCAACGCTTTCGTGAGTCGCCGAATATATCCTTACCTTCGCTGCCATTTTTCATAAATTTATCTCATTTTTCCGGCTGGCCCGGCAGTATTTTTAAGCAAAGACGTCGGTCACCACCTCGAGCCGATAAATAACTTCTTAATCCTCTCTTTTTTCTCTCTCAAATCACTTTGGGCGACAGAAAAATACTGGTTTCAAAATAAATGTGTATAAGCAAAAGTGTCATTAAATTAGCCTAATTGGTCTGTAGTTCAGTAATTTTAATCCTTCACAAAAAGAACATAGAAATTTAAAACGTGAGGTATTTGGTTACAATTGAGTTAATAGATGGAACACAAAAATTTGTTTGTAGTGAAAAGGCGAGCGAAGTTTTCAGTTCTACTTCAAATACGCTTTTGGTAAGTCTTTCCAAGTCTACTCAATTTGAACATTTGTACCGCAAATTGTACATCAGAAACTGAATGAGTTCAACGAGAGACGCATTAAATTCTCTTGTGTCTAGTTGAAATGTCTCATTCGAATTAAGTTTTTGTGGAGGAAAGACCAAATTTACACACGCCATTGCAGCAAAAAAAGAGCAAACTCTCACAACTTCAAACTAAATAATTTGACTTTACTTACAATTACATTCTTCGCCATTTACTTACTGATCAGAGGTAAATCTTCGCACATTAGTTAATCGTCGATGAGAGTTAATAATACTTTCCGTGGGATCATTGACAGTTTTTGAAGAAAACATTGTCTTGACAATCCTTACTGAACTAGTTCCGTTGTTTTTCCAAAAATGCACATGCACTTTTTATTCTTACGCGCTCTCAAATGGACAGGTGTCAGTTTGTGACATATACTTGTAAAAATAATGTTTAAAGATTGTTTGGAAGCCTTTTAAATCACCTTTATCACTACGCAAATGAAAATGTTTTGGTGAAGCTTCCCTCTTTAATTTGCATAACCTCTATTTCAAGTACCATTTACTCGGTCAAAAATTGTTAAGTTTATAGAATATCTTGCCGCAATTACAGCCCTACATCATTCGGGTTCTTTTGGAAAGAATTTCGTAAAGTTTATGGAAAAAACTGAAAATGTTATTTACCAGCCTAGGTCAGTCCGTATTGGAAAAAATTGTGCCCTGTGTCTTGAGTACCGCCCTCGGCCTATGTAAAATCAAATCCCTTTCATTGAGAGCAATCAAAGCCCGGACTTGTTAACGCATTATTTGATACAATGTGTCTCAGGCAATAAACCAAATTGGAAATCCGACATTATGGAGCTTTCACTTGGGCAGAAACTATTTCAATTAATTCTTTGTTTTTCTTTTCGTCTTAAACTCATGGTGACTTATTCGTTAAGAACAATGATGAACTCTTCGTAGAAACTGATGAAAACCTAGAACAACAAACTTTTCGATTTACTGCCTGACTATATGAGGGTCGAAGGTAAAGACTCTATCCATCTTCATGGTACCTGACTGCAAGATTCCCACAAATTTGAGTTGTAACCATTTTGGCGCATTAGATTATTTCCTTTTTCAAACGCTATGTTGGGATTATGGTTCAATTTCACCCGTAGTTTAGCAAATTTTACTATCCCTCACTTAAATATCCGTCAATAACGAAGAAGGGTTAAATTAATCCGCAAAAATAACACTTAAAAGTTCTAATCTACATAAAGTCGCGAGGATCAAAGTTTTGAATGTTAGCCATGTCAGAGAAGGCTGCATATCGTGCCCCATCCATGTCCCTAGCTAACTGATTGTCAGATCGCAGCTGATGATTAAGGCCTCCGATTCTCGAGCCGCATTCTGGACACTTGCCCTCTTCCATTGCTCCACCACATTCTGTAATGCAGTAAATGTGACCTTAAAGAATAAGCGAAACAAAAAGAGGCGTTTAAAGGAAAGTATTTTAGATGTTACGAGTTTCAGTATCTTGTGATCTGAAGAAACCGATTGGACGCCTTACGCGCTTGATGCACTGATGACGTCTCCCTTTAGAAGCTTGGTCACCATTCGGTTCCTTACAAAATAAATTTATGGCCAAGCCTTTTTCATCTATCAATCAGCTCATGCGAGGAAATTAAGAGGAATGATTTTATGTTCACTTCTTTGCAGCCCTTCCTCTGTTCAAAATTTAGCTGTGATCAAAAGAAACAACCTGAGAAATTCTTCCATTTCTCCTATTAAGGTTTTCCAGGAAGATTAAGAAAATTTCAAGGAAAGTTCATAGGGCTAAAATTGTGTCATTCAAACTCACCATTTGGACACTTGAACCAGTGTCCCTGTGCCATTCCCATGGCCTTCACAATCAGATCTTTTTCTTCTCTTGTAACCGTCTGGTAGTAAACTTCGAGATTTTGGCTGCGTCTGATCCGTTTGATTCGAGACATGTGTTCCTCTCGATGCTTTCGTTCTGAAAAGGTCAGTTGAGCAGAAATCTTTTAATTTTTTCACTTTTCATCCACTCCCATTACCGTATTTGAACAAAAACTTAGTAACAGTTTTCGTGTTATGTAAGAAAAGAAACGAATGGAAAGAAAACTCATCTCGCTAAAGTTTCTGGGAAAGGGCAATTGTGGTCAAATGGGTAATTAAGTCACTCAAACTACAAATCACACTTCCGTGGCTACCCCATTTCCTCTTTTCTCTGTTGTCCCATGAGAAGCGTCCAGTCAGTATTTTACCGAGTTTAGGAAGGAGAAATGCGCAGAGAGTAAAGTTTTCCAGCCAGGTTAACAAGTTTGTTTGAAACATTATAAGGCTATTATACATTGCTCTAAAAACT